AATGGCGTCGACGGCGCCGCCGGCCGCGGCGCCCACGGCGTCGCCGCACGCGCCGTCGCGGTCGCCGCGCTCGCACGCGCCGCCCCAGTCCGGGTGCATGAGCTCGCCGCGCGCGCAGATCTCTCTGTGCGAGTTGAGCATCTTCACGAGGAAGGAGCTCCCGGTCCGCGCGTACGACAGGACCAGGAAGTGGCTCCGCGTGGCGCACTTCGAGCGGCGCGTCTCGTTGAGCTCGCAGTGCATGTGGGCGACGCCGCAGCGCGCGAGCGCCCAGAGCGCGACGACCGCGCGGCATGCACGACGCATCCTACGCCATCGACGTCGCGCCGCGCGGGCGCCGGATTGCAGCAAAGAGGGCTGCCTATCTCATCACCATCGCGGCACCAAGGATGCAACTAGTCGGGCATCCCCTTCAATAACTTGGTCAACGAGTCAAACTGTACTGATCTTGCGGCGTTAACGTTATAGTTTCGGCTGCGAGCTTGAGGCATGCGCCGGTGAGAGCGGAAAGCAGGCGCGCCGGACCATCCGCGGACTCTCGCGACGACGCGCGCTCCAAAAAGCTTCTCGCAGCAAAGTGAAGAGCTCGCCGCCTCGCGACCCAACCCACGTACCACCTCCACACAACAATGCGTGCGTACCTCCCCATGTCCCCCGCACCGCCCACTCATTCGAGCCACGCACCGCGCCACGACCCCCGCAGACACGCTCATCGTCGCCCTCGTCGCGCTCGTCGGTACGGCCTCGGCGGGCAAGTACGAAAAGTTCGAGGCGCGGCGCCCGCGTCCGACGGTCAACGTCAAGCTCAGAACCCGGGCGGAGGCCGCCCCCCCCCCCCCCCTCCGCCCTGGGTCCTCGGCGGGCTCGCGGGGAACCTCGGCGCGCGCGCAGGTGAACATCAAGGAAGCGTCCCTCTTGTCCGTCGAGGCGACGAACCTCGAGGGCGAGGTCGAGACGCGGATCTCGGACCAGATCGCGGCCGGCGCGACGTACGACCAGAACAGCGCCCAGTTCGCGCCCAAGGCGCTCTTCACGCGCTGGACGGCCAAGGGCAGCGACCCCCTCGAGGTGACGGGGACCTTCAACATCGCGGACCAATCCGCCGAGGTCGACGTCAAGTACGAGAAGTTGGGCTCGAAGTTCGGCGTCAACTTCAACTCCGCGCGCAGCTCGCTCATCACGGCCGCCCGGACGTCCCGCGACTTCAGCGTCGAGGGCCGCACCATCAACGTCGCGCCGTCCTACAACTTCGTCACGGGCGTCTCGTCGGTGGCGTCGAAGCTCGCGCTCACCAGGGCAGGAAAAGAGAGCGAACTTCCCAACTTCAAAGGCTTCGATCTCGGCCGTTTTCCACTCGTTTCGGCTGACTTTTGGACGAGCGATCATCTCTCGGACGGTCTCGAAGCATGGATGCTTTTTCCGGAACGCGCGCGCGCGGAACACTCATGTTGAAGCGAACTTGAATCACTATTTTCCTGCCCAGGCGCTCACGTCCGACACGTCCGTCGAGCTCGCGCTCGACTCCGCCGACGTCGCCGACCGCGACGCGCTCCAGAGCGTCGTGTGCATCGACCACAGCTTCAACGGCAAGAACTCCATCAAGCACACCTTCGCGCTCAACTCGGGCGTGTCGACCTACGAGTACAAGCGCAAGCTCGGCGGCGACGCCGCGCTCTCCGTCGCGGCGCACCCGGGCAAGTCCGTCGAGATCGAGTGGGACGAGGTCGGCACCACGGGCCTCTGGACGACCAACGTCCGGTTGCCCTGGGGCAAGCCCGACCGCGCCCAAGTGTCCTTCAAGCGCAAGTTCCGGCTCTAGCGCGCCGCGGCGACGACCCCGCCGCGGCCTCCGAACTCGACGTCGCCTTCCGGCG